TCCCCACCCTGCACCGCCAGCTGGTAAACGACGGCCACGCTGCTTCCAGGGGAGGCAATCAGCTCACCTCTGGGAGGGCCCCGGTCACTGCCCTTTTGGGGGCCGGCTTGTTTCTCGGGAGACCTGGGCCTCCGCCTCTAGAACAGTCCAGCTGAGTGTTTTGCACTCAGGAGTTTTTCCCCGGGGTTTTGCTGAGAATCTTGTCTTTTTCTGGGTGTTGTTTGAGCAGCCATGGAAACCATTAGGTCTAATCAGCTGATGTAAAAGAACACACAGAACCCATCCCTGCACCAGCTACCTGTCCCAGGAGGAAGCAGGGCGCAGAGAAGGAGTACTGAGGTGACTGCGTGGGGGGGTGGGGGGGATGAAGTTACTGGCAGTTAAAGGAAGTTTCTCTATAGCAGAAAGGAGCATGGCCCAGCTCTGGCCAACCTGAGATAGGATCAAACTGGAAGCATCCCTTGCCCAGGGTCCCCGCAGCCACCCGCCCAGAACAGACACGCCTCTGCCTTTAGGAACGGCATTGTCCCCCCACCCCACTCCGATCCCCAGCACACGTGTCTACTTACTCAATGACCGTTAGGGAAAGCAACATGTTCATGACTCTATTGTCTCAAGAAAATGGGACGAACTGACCCAAGAAGCATGGTCAGGCCCGTCTCCGCGGCTCTATCGGCCCGTCCGAGTTCAGAGACGCAACCTCGCGATGGGTGGACAGACGCGATTCCAAGTGGCCGGGGAGGCCGCAGCTCCCGGAGGGCTTCCACGGCGTGGGGTCCAGGAAGTGGAGAGGGTTCCGATAGGAAAAAGGGAGTTTAGTTTTTAATCGGTTACATTACTGTTCGAAGAACGCAGTAAAAGACGCGATATTTCTGGAAATCTGCGAGGGGAATGGTAGGGGGAGAACCGGGGAGAGACTGAAGAGAAGCTCTTCCTCCCGCTCTCCCATCTCGTCGCTGCCGGAGCGGCTGGCGGCGAGCTGTGCGGGGGCGTCCGTGTCCCACGGCGGCTGCTCTCCGACGGCCCCTCCGGAGGCGCGTACAGACACGGTACAGGTAGTATCTTTCCACTTCAGGGGAAAACACCCTGGCCCAGCCCTTCCTGCAATAGTATTTTTAGTCCTTCCCTCCCCAACTGGCATAATTTGGTATAAATTATGTCTTCAGCAACGTCAACCCACCCCCCTCCCGTCTTCTGTCCTTAAAAAACTTGTTTTCTCGGCTGTGTTCTAGGAGCGTCAGCCCTCCCCAAACGCTGCTGTTTGCTGGGAAAGTCGCCGTGGAGTCTCTTCTCCTTGCTGTGTCGGGTGGCAGCAAGCGGGGCAAAGCCACGGGGTCGCCGCGCCAGGAGGAGGTGGGAGCGGGGGCGGGCGGCCCGGCGGGCATCATGTGTAGGAATAGTCTACGTCGGGGATGCCGCCGCCACGGTAGCCCCGGGTGGTGCCGTAGCCGATGGTGTGCGTGCCCTTGCAGAGGCTGCTGCCGTTGGAGGGGAAGATGGTGTGGACCACGTACTCCTCTTTGGCGTGGTACGGGTTAATGGGCAGCATCTGCAGCCCCGGGCCCCGGAGCTCCAGGATGGAGTTATCCTTCTTGGTCCCTGACTCCAGATAGCTGTCCTTTTTCTGGCTGCCTCGGTGGTAGGCCCGCTCCCGGGTCAGTAGGTCCCCGGCCCGGTTCACGTACCAGCAGATGGCCCCCAGGACCAGGAAGAGCAACACGAGGGCCACAGCGCCCCCAATGATGCCCGCCAGGGGCAGGCCGGCCATGGGGTTGGCATTCTGCTCCTGGTTGAGGGTGGTGGTGGGGCCGTAGCTGTCCGCTGTCTCCGCCTTGGCGCACACGGGCGTCTCGTCGGCCACGTAGGTGTTGCCCGTCTCCATGGTGACCATGCAGATGATATAGGTGGACTTGGGCTCCAGGGCTGTCAGCAGGTACTCCGTCTTGTCCCCCTGCACCAGGGTCTCTGTGATGGAGCCCACGGCCGGGCTGTGGCCCAGGCGCAGCCAGCTGAGCCGGAAGGAGGAGGCAGGGAGCGTGGCCTTCCACGTGATACGGATGGAGTCCGCTGTCAGGGGCTTCACGTGGATGACCAGGGTCTTGGCGCCATCGCCCGTGGCCATGGGGTAGTCAAGGTTGGAGTCGGGAAGGCGCAGCCCCGGCCTCTTGGCCTTGAGGGTGAAGAGGGAGCCCTGGGGTGTGGTAGCAGAGGCGTGGTTGCTGGCTGTGGTCTTGGCGGCCTCGCTGGTGATGTCCTTGATGGCCATGCCCCGGACCTTCTCGGGGCCCTGGCACATGAGGCCGCGCACATTGACCACGGCCGCCCGCGCCTTCACCCAGTCCCGCAGCCACATGAGGTTGCAGCCGCAGAACCAGGGGTTGTTCCGCAGCAGCAGCTGAGCCAGGCTCTCCAGGTCGTCGAACAGGCCGCGGGGCAGCGTGGTGAGGTTGTTGTTGGACAGGTCCAGGCGCTCCAGCTCGCGCATCTTGGCCAGCGTGTTGTAGGGGATGTGGCTGATGGCGTTGTCCTGCAGGTAGAGCTTCTGCAGGTGGGCGCTGGGCAGGTTGAGGGGCGGGGCGGCCAGCGAGTTGCGCACCAGCGAGAGCTCGGTGAGGTTCTGCAGGCGGCTGAAGGTGTCGTCGGCGATGCGCTGGTTGGCCAGCAGGTTGCCGTCGAGCACCAGGCGCCGGAGGCTGTGGAGGCCCTTGAAGGCGTGCAGCGGGATGGTGGAGATGCGGTTGTCGTCCAGCCGCAGCTCCTCCAGCGTGCGGGGCAGCCCCGAGGGGATGCTGCTCAGGTGGTTCCGGCTCAGGAAGAGCAGCCTGAGCTGCCTGCTGTCGGCGAAGGCGTCCTCCTCGATGCTGACGGTGGACACGGAGTTGTCGTCCAGGTGCAGCTTCTCCAGCAGCGGGAGGCGGGCCAGCGAGTCCCTGGCGATGGCGCGCACGTTGTTGTCCTGCAGGTGCAGCTCCCGCAGCGAGCGGGGCAGGTTGACGGGGAACTCGTCCAGGGCGTTGTCGTACAGGTAGATGACCTGCACGCTGACCTTGGCCTTGAGGCCCTGCGGGATGCCGGCGTTGGTGATCTGGTTGTTCTGCAGGAAGAGGGTGGTGGCGTCGTCGGGGATGTCGGCGGGGATGGAGGCCAGCCCCCGGTCGTTGCAGTAGATGAAGCCGCTGTCGCAGCGGCACACGGAGGGGCAGGTGGTGCTGTCGATGACCTCCGTCAGGAAGGCGATGAGCCCGTAGCAGAGGAAGAGCCAGTCGCGCAGGTCCATGGTGGCCGTGGTCATCACGACAGTGGCCGTCACCGTGGCAGCGGGAGTGGTGGCGGCGGAGGCAGTGGGGTGTGCCCCCACCATGGTGGATGGCGGGGGGAACCGGGCCTCACCTGACTCGGGGCCTCAACACCTGCAAGGAGCACAAGACACGTGCGGTCAGAGCGCGTCGCGTCGCAGCGGCCACCCGAGTGCCGCCAAGAGGCCGCTGCGGGCGGGGACGTGGGGCGGGAATCACGCCTGGAGGCACAGGCGCCCGGCCCCTCCGTGCCCAGGTCATGCCACAGGTGACCACTCAGGCTGAGCTGGACTCTGGTTAACTTCAGACCTCAGTGGGAGAGGCATGCTGCCCGTGAATGAGACGGACGCTGCCTGCCCCCCCGGACGGCGACCCCGCGCCGCGGGCGAGGCCCCTCTAGCAACGGCCACGCCGCAGCTCCACTTTCTTCTTTCAAGATCTCACACGGAACCGGTTTTCACGGCTGATGCCACACGTGGCAGCCCATGTCGATGGGATGGATTTAGGGCGTGTTTTATGGATTCCGAGCCATTTCTCACTGGAGTGAGGAACTCACATCTGGCTCAGGCCCAGGGTTTGCCGGGAGGGCTTGTTTCGGGGAGGCCTGCACGCTTAAGGGGGGGCAGGGGGGGCGTGACCAGAACCTGCGGAGAAGGAGCTGCCAGCACCGTCACTGCCGAGCGGTGGAGAGCAGGCGCTTCATTGTCTGGTGTTAAAACATGTCCTGTGTCACGCGTGCATTTTATAGACAGAGGAAGAAGGTGTCAACAGAACTGCTTTCTCGCGTATTTACAGAAATCTCTCTTCATCGGAGGTGCCCTCCCTAGCTCCGCGCTCTGTGGGAGATTACTCCACACCTTGTCCCCTTCCGAAAGTCACAAAGCTTGAATGTGTATATATGTATATGTTTTTGTTGCGTTTAAAGAAATGAGACACAAAAGGAAGGAGGGATCCATGCTCTGAGGGAATTGCCTGGAGGTGTAATTTCAGTTTTCACAAATGGAAAAATTGCAGCATAGACCTTTCTCATTATTTCACTGTTCATAATGGTTTTTTAAAAAAAGCAATTAAAGAGAAATTATCTTTCAACCTCAGCGGGGAAGGTATCTCCACGCGGCAGGCCAAGGCCTGCTGTATAAATCCCGGCTCACAAAGGCTTTTCAGGGGTGGGACACTGGCCCCTCGGAGCCCGCACCGAGGCCCCGGCCGGGGCAGCCCTGGTGTACAGAGCAGAACCGGGACACGCTCAGCGCGGCAGCCAGTCGGGGCCTCACTCCACGCCCTAGCGGCCAAGCGTCTCCGTGTCTCAGCCCTGCCACACCCTCTTCCTTCTCTGTCTCCATACCAGGACTGCTCTTCTCCGTCTAGCAAACTGCTCCTCACCCTTCAGGACCAGGCTCAGATGCCCTCTCCTCTGCTGGGCTTCCTGATGCCAGATAGAGCTTCCGTCTGCTCCGTCATCCATCCTTCTATCCACCCATCCACTCACTGAGCCATCCATCCATCCGTCCGTCCATCCATCCATCCATCCATCCATCCGCCATCCCCACTCACTCATCCGTCTGTCCATCCCCCACTCACTCATCCATCCATGCATCTGGCCACCCAGTCACCCAACAGATGTCTGTTCAGCCCATACCATATGCCACTTGTTCTGACCACTTGTGATTCAATTCTCGGGGGATGGTAGCTCATCCTATAATAAAGACCTCGCCTAGAGCTTTAGGAATTAAGTCATTTAATCCTCCCCGCACCCAGGAGGTCAGAGCCCGTCTCATTCCCATTTCACAGATGAGAAAGCTGAGCGTGGGGATGTGAACTTAGTCACGACCACTGAAGCGGTGGTAAGGGGGAGCCTTGGCCAGAATCTTGGTCACCAGGCCCAAAGCGCTGAGTGTCTGTGACTGTGGGTCATGCTGTTTTGGTGACGATCGTGTTTTAATGTTGCAACTACATCTAGGGCGCTCGAGGGCCCGGGCCAGGGGCTGTGGTGGCCTGGCGTGGCTTGGCATCAGTGGCCACCGAGTACAGAAGGGACTGAGAACGTGGGAGCACCTCCCCCACGAGCCCCCCACGTTCACGCCATTTGCATTTACAGGGGCCTTGCCCAGCCTGCAGCTCCAAGGCCTCTGGAGAGAGCTCAGGCTTCGCCCGCCAATGCACTAACCCGCCCAGGGCCTGTCTGCAGCACGAAGCTTTGTCTACAGGGTCCCCCAGGGCAGGTCGAGGGCCAGCCCAGGACACCTGGCTGGAAGCAACTGAGGATCGGGGGAAGGGTGCCAGGGGTCTGCACCTGGAACCAGAAGGGGAAGAGGGGGGCTGAGCCATGCCCAGCATCGGGGCCCTTGAAGCCAGCTCAGGCTCCCTCCACCAGCACCCACTGGCCTGAGAGACCAAGGACTGCAGCCTCGGACCTCGGCCCCCAGCCCAGGCTATGGTCCTCACCCCACTCACCCCCCACCCTCGGGAGGCGGAGGTGGTCTGTGCTTCCTGCAGGTTAGGCTGTCGTCTTTGTTTCCCTGACCAGGCTCCCTGGCCACTTTCCTCTCTCATCTCCCACCCAGAGACTTGCACCGTGCTCCCCAGACCCTCCTGCCCTCAGCGGCATTGAGAGCCACCGTGTAAGATGTGGGAGGAGCCGGGGTATCCCAGGCTGCCCAACCTTATCTGACCACTGACTCTCCTACCTGTCGTCATACCTGGGACTGGGAAGGGCCCTGGCCCAGAGCATAGGGCGGATGGGCTCAGAGCAGGGAATGGTCCCATAGACCTGGGTAGGCCGACCTCCAGAGGATAGGAATGAGCCCAGGCAGCAGGGGGAGCCCTGGAGCCAGACCTCACCCACCCCCTTCACAGGCATATGTCTGTACCTTCACCCTGTCACTCACACACACACACACACACACACACACACACACACACGTCCTCCGGCCCATTTTACAGCCGAGCAGCTTGAGGCTCAGGGGTGAGGGGCCTACCCAGGGTCACAGCCAGCCCGGGGTTCTAGCTGCACATCTGTCCCTTTCCCTGCACGGAGCCAGAACTTCGAAGCTGATGGAGCCTGGAGGTCCTGTCCCAAGCTGTTTATGAGCAGAGGGTCAGGGCAAGGGCAGGTGCTGAGGACAGGAAGGTGCAGGCCTGCCCAAGGCCACCCCCTCGGTCTCAGGGGTCAAGGCCCAGCCTGGGGGAGCCTCTGCCTGGGCCCCAGCAAAAGGTCAGAGGACACCCCCCGCCCTGGTCTGCCAAGGCTGCGTCCTGGCAGGGGGATGCGGCGGCCCCTGTGCCCAGCCAGTGCCCTGAGCAGGGGGCAGGCTTGCTCAGGCCAAAGGCAAGGCCAGCCGCCGCCTTCTCTGGCATGGAAGTCCGTTCCCGGTGCCCACCCAGCTCATGGCTGCAGCCGGCCGCCTCCAGAGGCCCTGGCATCGATGATGGAGTGTAAATTGCATATTTCAGAGATGCCTGATGGATAACCAACCAGTGTCTGGGAGGCAGGGACCCAAGGCCTCTCTGTTCCCCTATCCGTGGGCCTCATCCGTCTTGGCTCAAGTCTCTTCTGCCCGCCCTTCCCCAAGGCCACCCGCTCTGAGCCCCTGGTTCTGGGAGAGCAGGGCGGGGCCTGGGCTGGGAGGGGGGAGCACGCCTTGCCGGAGGAGCCCATTAATTGCCCAGGTGCTAGGCGGCCTTTTATTCCCGAGTTGTGTGTGGGGTGGTGTATGTGGCCATCAAATTAAAGCCGGTAAATCGCCTGTCTTTTACGGGGGCCACTTGTCATTGCTGCACGGGTCCCCCCGACTTCAGCATGGTGTGAGTTACGGCCTGCCAGCCCCATGACTGACAGCAGGATCCTTGATCTGCTGGTGGGGGGAGGGGAGGGGAGGAGTGAGGTGGCTCAGACTAGAGGTATCCAGACCCGTCAGCCGAGGGACACCGTTCTCGGCCTTCGCTACTAGCGCCTGCCATCTTCCAGGACAGAGACACCTGGGTTTGAGTCCTGCCTCGGCCACCTCCAGGCTGTGTGACCCTGAGCAAGTTCCTTGCCCTCTCTGAGCTTCAGTTTCCTCATCTATAAATATGGCCATTGAGGATGCACTAAGGTAATACGTGCAAAGGACCCCTCAGAAGGGCAGCCTGGATGTGACAGATGCCTGAGGTTTCTCAGCTGCTGGGATTCTCCCGCTGCCCCAGGCACACTGGCCGAGGCTCTGTGTCAACTGCTTGCCTCTGTCCTCTGCTCCCCACCAGCCCCGTCCTCCCTCCGCTGCCTGCTGAGCCTCCTGGTGCACTGGGAGCCCGCAGGCCGCGCTGCTACCTGGCAGGATGCCTCACCTTGTGCTTCCTCAGCCCCTCCCCGCAGGCTGGGTGGGAGCACTGGCCCCACATCCGGGCATCAGCACGGGCCCATCAGCACCAGTGAGGAACCTGAGGATTCCGGGTGGCGGTGACTCCACGAAAGAGGCGTGTGAGGAGGGAGGACAGCAGGGCGCTGGGTTAGAACCGGCCTCCCCAGTCCCCGGCTCTCTGGGTCGTGGTCTCCTTATCTGTAACGTGCTGCTGAGGGCGGGCGTGGGGAGTGCCCAGCACAGGCCGGTGGTTTGGGGAAGAAGAGCTGCCCCAACTGTCCCCAGGGAGGACCCCAAGGCCCTCCTATGGCCACTCAGGGCGGTTGCCCACTAGTCCTAGCTGAGCTTCCAAAGAGGGAGGGCAGACACCAGCGGGCCGGGAAGCGGAGGCAGGACAGAGGCCGCCCCTCGCGCCCCCCTCCCAGGCCCTCCCTTCAGCAAGAATTGTTGTTTTCCTAAACCTTGCCAGGCCCTCACGCATTGGCAGAGCAGGGCCCCAGGCAGGAGCGAGGTGTGCAGGGCAGGCTGGGGACAGAAGCAGTTTCAGCCCCAGGAAGGGGGAGGCGGGGGGACCCCAACCCACCATGCAGGGGGCTCCACGAAGGTGGGGTCCCCTCCATATCTGTGGTGGGTCCTCAGCAAATCTTTGTTTAAATAATGAGGGGCCCCACATTTTCTTCTTCACCAGCCCACACTACCTCCCCGGTTATAAGCCACACGGAGGGAGGGAGGTCAAGAGGCAGAGGGAGCGCAGCCTCTACCTCTCTGCCCAGGGAGGCCTGGGAGAGCCTGCCCACCTCCAGGCGCCCCTCCCCTGAGAAGGCAGGTACGGCCTCGGGCCTCAGGCCTTCATCCGCAAGACGGGACCGTGAACCATGCACTGCCCTGGGTTCTTGTGCGGATAAAGGACGGTGATGTCACGCCTGCGCGGAGGGCCTGGCGCAGTGGAGGTCAGAACTGGGACCGGCGCTGTCACTAGCGATCGGCAGCGCGCCCCT